TTAGTTTCAGTTTAAAAATCAAACAATCAAAATTTTTTTCTTTACAAAAGTTACATCTATCATCATCTGTTCTGATACATTTTTTATTTCTATGACGACAGTTTAAACATTTTGTTTTACTTGTTTTGGTTTTAATTGCAACTATTTTTTTTTAATATATAAATTGAGAACAAACATTATATAAATACAAATTTGTATATTATTATGACAATCATTTATTAATTTATAAATAATTGTTTCACAGATTTTCATTCTTTGTTTTCTTTGTTTTTTTTTGTTTTTTAACTTTTGAAACAAGGTTAATATTGTTTTTTTTTTGTTTTTTTTACAAGTATCTATGATTAAAAGAAATACTAGTTTAGTTAAAACACTTTTTAACCACTTTGACTCAAAGTAGTTTCCAGTTTCTTTGCTATCAACTATTTTGAGTTGACTTGGTTCTCAACGTGTTTTTTACGTTTTTTTTATTTTGCCAGCTGTCTTTCTTTTGTTTTAACTTATGAGATATGATTATTTTTTTATTTTTTTTTATTATTTAGATAAAACTAACAAAAACTTTATTTTATAAAAGATGTTTTTGTTAAAAGAAATCAATGAAGTAATCGAAAAAAACTATGAATTACAAGCGTCTCTCTTAAAAATAAGAAAAGAAATAAACGAAACAAAATGTGAATCATGCGAATCTATTAAAGAACAATTTGAAAGCATTAAAATTTTGGTTAAATGTAAAAGAAATCAAAAACTATATGACGCTATTTCAAACATTAAAAAAGAGTGTGAAGAATTTAAGGATAAATATTATAAATTAAACACCAAATATAATAGATATACTGAAAAGTATGGTGAAATCACCGAATAATTTTTTGTATTTTTTTTATTATTTTTTTATTATAATAAAATAAAAGTTTTTTCATAGTTTATTTAAAAAGTTAAAGTTTTACAAAAAGTAATTAATAATGATTGTCAAAAAAAAAAGATAAAATGTAAAATAAAATAAAAAAAAACTAAATACGATTTTGATTTTTTTTCTGTTGTTGTTTTTGATTGTATAAAGAAAAAAACTTTTCATTATTACAATAAAAATTATAAGAATCGCTCCAAGTAACTAAAAAACAATCTAAACCATTGATGTTTAAAGAATTTTCATATTGACTACTAGTTAGATTAAAACATGTTATATCTTTAGGAATAGAAATTTTTTCTTCAGTTTTTTTATCCAAAAAATAAACTCTTGTATTATTCGTATTCAATCTTTCAACTTGAATTTTAAACGGATAATCACGAAACTCATGAAGATGTTTTTCAAGTGGAGTTTCTTTCTTGTAACTAATTGTCATTGTATAACTAAAAAATAATATTAATAAATATTAAAAAAAAAGAATAAAAAAAATAAAATACATACGATTTTTTTTTAACAATACGTTTATTTTGATTTTTTTTAATTTAGATATTTTATAGGTACAAATTGTTTGATGATCTTATTCTAAATTATTGATTACTCTATTTTATAGTAAATGTACAATATTCTAAAGAGGTAAAATGCCGCAACTAAAAAATTTCTATAAACTACCGATTTTCCTTTTTTTTATTTTTTTTTTTAATTTGTGACTTTGATGAAAACACATTTTGTTTAGATAGGGCTTCTTGGTATTTAATGGTTTAAACTAAGCTAAAGTTCACCTTTTGCAATTAATTTTGTAAAAGTTTAAACTAAACTAGAGCTTTCCCATTAAATACAAAGCATAAATTTTCTGACGATATAGTTGAAAAGTTGCAAATTCAAAGAAAATTTTTTGTTCGTTAGAAGGTTTTAATACAACTTGGACTTGGTAAATTTCTTTTTACTAAACGAAAGTTGTAGTGTGGAAGCTTGGCTTGATTGTTTTTTTAGTTAGTAATTTTTAAACGAATGCTTTATTTTTTTGTTGGTCTTAAAAACAAAAAAAGAATTTCAAACAAAACATATAAGTTAAACTTATATAATTCCTGGTAGACTGAGAAGTGACATGCTCTATGCACCTACTACTGGGTTATAAACAGATGAATATAAGATAAGGATTATATCAAAAATGGTTTGGGGGCCGATATAATTCTCCCTGAATTCTAGCTTTTCGTCACATTTTTAAGAAGCATATGATATGTTCCTCCACGTGGTATGCTTTGGGCAATGTATATTTTTTATAAGATCTTATAAATAATATATAGCGAATACATATCAGAAAGAATTTTTTTATATTTTATAAATTAATAAAATTTTTGATTAATTTTATTTAAAAAATTAAAATAATTCGCTAAAATTATCATTTTGATAAATTATAGTATTATTATATAATATAGAAAAACCTTTAACATTTTTATTTAGACTAATTACTCTATCTGCTTCTGTATATTTTTTAATATTTGTTAAGTCGCTTGTTTTAATTATAAACGAATAATTTTTGGATTCAACTTGTACAAGTGTAAGTTGTCTATTTGAAGTTCCTTTTGTAATATGAATTTTTAATTTTTTTTTATTTAATATAAAATGAAAAATATAATTATTGGCAGAATGATAAATATAATAAGACATTTTGTTAAGTTTTAATTTCACTCAGAGAAAATAAAAATTATAAAAAATGGTGTTTTTATAGATTATTTTTATTAACAAAAAAAAATGAACTGGTCAGAGAAATTCAAAAATTTTGAAATTTTGTCTGGTTGGACTAAACTTCCAATTATTAAACCTTGAAAAAAATCTAATTCTTATCGAATTGTTGAAATTGATGCAAATTTATTTCTCGAAATCTTACACAAAAACCAGAAATCATATTTTTACTCGATAAAGAAAATTTTCATTTAATAAAAAAGTACACATGGTGTTGTGTTAAACAAAAAATTGCAAACACATATTATATTAGAACCAAACATAATAGAAAAAACCATTTACTTCATCGATTAATTAAACCAAATTTTAATTTAATCAATCATTTAAATCGTGAAGGTTGTGATAATAGAGAAATTAATTTATGTGAAACAACTCCAAGAGAAAATGCTTTAAATTGTAAACTTCAAAAAAATAATATATCAGGTTTTAATGGAATTAGTTATGATAAATATTCTAATATTTGGAGATTTCATTGGTATGAAAATAACAAACGTAAAACTAAAATATTTAAAATCACAAAAAAAAAAGAACTAATGAACAAGCTAAGCAACAATGCATCGAATTTAAATTAGCTCACGATAAAATTACAGGAAACATGAATAGAAAAGAAGTAAAATTTTAATTATTTTAAAGATTTTTTCCATAAATTATCTCTATATTTATGTCTAAGAATAAATTCTTTTAATAATGGTTCAATAGTTTCTTTTCTTCTTTTTTCTTTGAGAATAAAATTTTTGAGTAATTTCCAAGTATTTTCAATATGATTTGTGTGTATTTTTCTTAATCTTTGTTTTGTATTAGTTGTTGTGAATGATTTATTTTAAAATGTCTATATCCAAATTGTTCTAATCCTTGATATGATTTAAAACAATCTGTATAAATTGTTGAACCAATTTTTATATGTTTTTTAATATATTTTCTAAGAGTTTCTATTTTTCGATCATCTACAACAACAAAAAATATATTTTTTTCTTTTGTTCATTCAATTTCTCCAAAAATCCAAAAGTTCCTAAATAAACTTTCATCAATTTCAACTATAATATTAGGTCCACCAATAATAGTATCTTCTTCTGTTAAATTGTTAATAGCAATTTGTCTAATAGAATTAATAAATCTTCTTATCATCAATCTTGTGATTCCACTCATATTATAAATTTGAGATATTTGAAGTTTATGAATCCAAAAGTATATGATTAATAAAATATTATTACATTTCAATCTGTGTTGTGAGAAAAAAGTATTTTTAAATATAGTAATCATTCTTTTACATTCAGTATTTTTA